TTTCATATTCGCTGTAAATGAAGCATGTCCATGATGAGTTGTATGAAATGGGAAATTATTTAAAGTTCTTTATACTTGATTTGCCTTGGTTTACATTTGACTCAGATCTTCCATTTTTACATGCACTTTGTATATGGTGTCATTTGTTTTCCCTTTTGTTTGTAGCACTGTTGCCAGATTGTTACTTAATTGAAATTGTGAAATAGCTTTTTTTGAAATCAACTTTCATTAATATTTAGTGAGACTGTGCTAATTTACACAAGCTGGCAAGGTGTCCTCTGCAGTCAGTGCCTCTGGTTCCTCCAGGATTAATGCTCCTCAATTCTCTTGCACTGAAGGAATATGAAATTGATCCATAGCTGCAAAGCCTAGAGGAGGTAATAAGATCTCTAGCTTCATTATTTCATTCATTGCATCTGACTTGCTTTTACTGGCAACCCTAAGCTGCTGTTCCTCTTCAGTACCATAAAATGCTTTGGTTTATCTTTTAGCAGACTTTGAGATGTGAAGGTCGATATTTCTGCAAGTTGATTGATTTAAAGTTGTTTATTCAGATGTGGATCTATTCTGCTACTTGCTTGACTTCATTTAGGCTTCTTATTTCTGTAGGGTTGCTTACCTGGCATATTCTTCAAATTATACTCTGTGGTAGTTCTTAAAACAGACTCATCAGAGTTCATTTCTGTGAGATTCTCTTGAAAACTGTTGCAGGTTTTGGAAATCCTTTGTACTGACTCTATTTGTACCATACATCATCTGCCATTTATAGGAAATCATGATTTTTTTACTCAGTTCTCATAAGAATAGAAGCAATTTCATAATAAAAAAGAAAGGTTGAGTCTCACTTTTGTAATGTACCTGTGTGGATTTGTTGAGTGGCCCAGAGGTGTGGTGCATGGATGTGGCTCTGTGTGTGTGTGTGTGTGTGTGTGTGTGTGTGTGTGTGTGTGTGCCTGTGTGTCTAGGGGTGTCCTGACAGCAGGGAGTGGAGGAGGGCTGTTGGTGTTACTGGAGTCATTTGGAGTTTTTTTCTGTGTTATTGAGCTTATTGCTAAGGGAGCCTTTTCCTTGTGTGTGTGCCTTGAAGTTGGTGAATCCCAAAAGCTGCCCCTAGGCAGGCTGCAGCACATGTCCTGCAGCTCCTGTGTCTCCCCAGAGTGCTGAATTTATCATATATTTCATGCCCAGCATGTAAGTGCTGTTTCCATATGGTAAATCCATGCTCCCCACTGCATCTGAAGGTAAAAACATCTGGTACCACTGGAGAAGCTCATTGCAATCTATTGCTGCCTTCTTTCCTAGTGTTCTGTGACAGCAAGCAGGGAGACTTGTGGGGATGAATTCTGGGGGATGGAGCCTGCTTGTAGCTACCTCCTTTCCAAAAGGGCCACCTGGTCCTTCCCTCCTGCCACCACGTGTGCCTTCAAGGTGTTAATGGTCTGTGCTTGGGACAGGTGACAGGGACGGGCAAGAACAGGAGGTCTCTGGACGTGGTGATCAAACGTGGGTCATTTCCCTGAGTTTGCTCTTGGATTATGTATAAAAAGAGGGTTTGCTGTAACCTGAGGCCTGTTGGTTAGAAATCCTTGTTTTTAATAGGAGTCCTTCTCTCTATGCATGTTTATGCAAAATAATTCCATTTCTGGCAAGGTTTGCATGTTGTACCATTTGCTACACTGCTGCCTGTGGTTTGATTCCTTTTTTGCTTGTATTCAATCTGTTTTCCTGGTATTTGGATTACTACTGTTTTGTCTTGGTTCAGTTGATACTTGTCTCTCTTTTGGGTCTGATGTGTGTAATTTTTATTTATTCATCTAGTGTTTTCAGGTTTTATAGCTCTTTTCTGTTACATCAAAAGTCAACAGTTTGATTAAGTTCCAACTGTTGTAGCATATGTAGTCTGGCTTCATTATCTCCTGTTGCCATAAACTGTAATCTCTAACAAAATTAGGCAGCCAGCATGCCAAGTGTGCATGAGGGGCTGCGTGTGTGGCTCTGTGGATGTTATTTTGGGGCAGTGATTTTTAGGGCTGAGTGAATGCAGTTGATGTGGCTGTGTGCTGATGCTGGCTGGTCAGGTGCTGTATGTGCCTTGTCAGTGGGGGCTCTCTTGGGGTAAACACAAACCTTGTGCAGCAGGAGCCCTCTCAGCTCTCCACACTACCTGTTCAGAGCAAGGAGTGACACTGACAGCTCCCTGAACACTGAGTGTGTGGTGTGTCACACACAGTGTGAGTGCCAAGGCCCTGAGGAGCTTGTGCATGCCAGCTTAGATCACAAATTCAGATTTTACTTAGAGCTTTGTCAGTTCTCTGGGAGGTCAAGACAGTCTTTGCCTCCTATCCCTCTGAGAACCTTTGCTCTGATTTTTCTGCTTATCTGCTGCTGCCACTGAAGACTCTGCATTGCCTCAAGTCTGGTCCCCAAGTCTGGAGTTGAGCCACTTACCTTTATTTTTTCTGTAAATTGCACAGTAGTTCTGGGTTGAAAGTGCAAGTGCTACACTGGTAGGACAGAGTGGGCCCCCAGTGCCCAAGGACACAGTGTGTCCCACACAATTCTTTTTGAATGAGAGACAAAAAATAGAAGTGAGACGAGCAGCTTTGATGCTGCAGTTTGAGATAGTGCTGCAAAAATCATTTAAATAATTGTATAAAAGAAGCAGAAGCAAAATGTAAAGGTATTCCTTCACATTTCTTCTTTTGGCTCCCCCTTTCTTTAATTCCAGAAGTATTCACTGGCAGTGTTTATAGCACAGTCCATGAAGGCTGAAGGGGCAGTGTGCTGTAGCAACAAACAGGAGGAAGACTGAACATGGGAGGGAATTTCTTGGGCCAGCCTTACTTCCACAGGGAGTGTTTTTTGTGAAACTTGGCTATGGATAATGAACAGATGCTGAGAAACTAGTTATTAACACTCAGGAAAAGCAGCTGAGATTTCCCGGGCTTAAAGAAGAATATAGTAGACTTCAGAAACTCTCAAGACATGTGTGACAAGAGTGGGCAAGGATAAAGATGCAGAATTATTTCTGGGAAAGCCACATGGTGCAGAGTAGGATTATTCTGCCTAGAAAGGGGTGACCAGATGGAAGCATGGAAAATGCAAACAGGGGCTTGGGGTTTGTTTTTTCTTGTTTCATAAGAATTGGGTCACATCAAATGGATCTAACAATTGGCAAGTTTAAAACACAATTGTTCTTTTATTTTGCAGTGAGTAATTAACCCTTGCACAGTGCTGCAAGATCATGTAGATATAAAACTGGTTTAGACAGACACATCCATGAGAGAAGAAATTCACTGCAGTCTTAAAAGTCTGGGACAGGAACTCAGAAGTATCAATGTATTCTTGCCCTTTTCTTATGCCATGTATAAGCTCTGTTGGGCAGGTGAACCTGTTGTCTGACCCAGCACAGCTGCTATTTTCTTTAGTGGAAAAAATAGCTCTGGCAATTGCATATTGTTCTGATATCTACAGTAATAGAGCTGTTCAAACAAATCTTGTAAATTGGTAGTACACCAACAGCCTGGTCATTAAGCTCTGTCAATATTTGGTGTAGTAAATACTTTTTACATTTGGCTACATTTGGTTTATGTGCCCTAGAGAATTTTGCTGATTGATTGAAATGATTGATACTTCCAAGAACAGGTCTGAATTCATGCTGAAATAACAGTGACATAACATTCTAGATAACTAGTTTTGTGCTGCTGCTTCTTCAACTTGAGTCAAGCTTAATTAGAGGCCAAGATTTGCTTTCTAATTTCTTCTAAGTAGCAGATGGACCCCTTTTTAAGATTGCTTCTCCTACTGGGGGGGGGGGGGTGTGCATGTGCATGTGTGTTGGGAGGCAAAACCTGTGAAAACTGAGTTTCCTGGCAAATTGGATGTTTAGAGATTCATGCTGGTTGTTGGATAACATGAGAGTTCTGCTAGTCTGCTCGTGGCTCAAGGGTGACTGTAGTGATGTGTGTTAAACATGGAGTGCCTTGGCTCAGTCCTGAGTTCTGTGTGTCTCTGGTACATACACGACTGGTTTGCTGCATCCTGTCCTCACACACCTGCCATGGGCCCGCTGGTAGTCTGGGAATTTGCACTTGGGTAAACTGGAACCTTCAGAGAGATTTTTGAAGATCCTCATTACAGCTACTAATTCAGAAAAAGGCAGATTTTTCTAAGAGAACAAATTGTATGGATTTTTTTGTTTTTCCTATTGATTCCTTTTCAGGATGGTAGAAGCCAGTTGTGTGGGCATGATGGGGTGTTTGTATGTGTGTGTGATTTTTTAAACTTAATTTAATAGAAATAATATCTGATTACATTAAATATACACAATTCTTTACCTACAGTGTTTATGTAGCTGAGGAGCTTGGAATGTCAGAGATGATAAAAATATCTCCTGGCTAACTGTTGTTCTGTGGGCAGTTATAAACTGAGTTTCCTATCCTGTGATCCAGGTAGCTTACAAACACCCTAAGTCCAACTTCTGTGTATTATTTTATTTACTATGTATCCCTCATTATATTTTGTTTTCCTGAACTATTTACAGTGTTCATGAGTGACTGATGTACTAGTTAGGTCTTTATAAATACTGAGATATTCACTGTGCAGTATAAAATCAGTATTTATCCCAAAGTATTTCTATTCATCAGTTTTCTGGGATTATATGTTGGCCATTCTGAATGGAGTAACAGTGGTTTTTTTTCAATACAGTTTTAAAACTAAAAATACTCTAAGTAGTTTTGAGGCATTACAGTAATTTCAATTTGAACTCGTGTTTATACAATATAATACCAGAAAATGGTCCATGTAGTTCTGCTCCCTAACAATATTTGTTCTGTCTCCACCTTGAGAGAAGGTGCATAGATTTCTAAGCTTGTACATATGTATAATTAAGCAAAATAATTGCTCAATTATAAAATTATATTCTGAAAAGAATAAGTAATTTGCCTTTAATAAAACACTTTTTAAGAGTCTCTGATAAGTTATTCTTTTTTTCTTGACAGTCTGTGGTGGACGACTGGATTGAATCATATAAACAAGACAGGGACATAGCACTTCTGGATTTAATCAACTTCTTTATCCAGTGTTCAGGATGTCGAGGTACAGAACATGGGAAACAAGTTGTATGGAATAAATCTGACCTGTAAACGTGTGTTAATGCAAATGCTGGTAAAGATGGGGAAGACTTGGATTGGTGTTCCTTGTGTGCATGGTTTGTATAGAAATATTGTCTGCATTCCAGAATACATTGATTTAAAGCTTGTTTGTCAAGGGCTACCCATTTTCTTTCTCACTTTCCTGTCATCATGCTAAAGTGTACAGATCCTCACAGAGACACTCTACTCGTCAGCAGCAGGACACAAAAGATCTGGTACTCCAGGTAGGCGTATCTTTATTTCCCCTTTCTGTTTCTTCCCAATTTTTTAATTGCAAAAATTAGTAGGTAACTATACCTTAACTTTGATAATTTTTCTTTCTTTTTAGGAAATTTTGGTTTTTTCACTGAAGAGGAAGGAGTCAGTCTTCAGTTCAATTAGCAAGAAGGATTTCGTGTGGATGAAGCTCCAGTGTTACTTGTTCCTCTGTGATACTTTATCACATCAGCAGCCAGTGCCCTTCCTTTTATACCCTACTTAAGCAGTCTCCATTACCAGACGTGCAGCAGTCAGCCATTCCAGCATTCTCTTGCCACACTGTGCCTTCTAATGAATTTTTCATGTGTTGTCTTTTTTCAGTTAACTCAGCCTTGAAGAGAGACAGAGCTCCACTCTCTCTGTAGTGCCCAGAACCAAACTATTTACTATTTTCGGATGCTTCCTGGAATTTACTTTGAATAGAGTTGGAAACAACCCACAATTCAGAAATTCTTTTTCTTCATTTTGTATCTGATGTGGGAATACACTTTTAGGGATCAAACGGTCTAGGTAGAAGTCCCTTTTCTTCCTTCTTAAGTATTAGATGAAGTCCTGAGTAGTTAAAAGCATCAGAGAAAAGAAATAGGAACCATCAGAAGCTTCAGCAACCCTTTTTCATAGCTGAAGGAAATAAACTTATTTCGTGGATGACAGGAAAGACTAAAGCTCTGGGAGCATTCTGTGAAAGGGCTGAAGGTTAGGGCTTAGGTTACCAGCCTGTGTCAATGTCTGCACTGTTCACACAGAACCCCTGAAACATTTTTAGTTGTGTTTGGCAGCTTATGTGGAAGTAGTTGTATTCTGTGTGCCTTTTTTTTTAACTGTCACCTGAAGGTGTATATGAAAAAAAGCAATTTCACAAGCTTATTTGTGAGAATTTGGGCAGCATTAAACCAAAGGCATCCTTGGCCATATGTTTATATTCTTGCTGATGCAAGCTTTTGGTGAAGGCATGTCATAAATTTCCTCATTTCCCTGCTGCTCTCTAATTTACTCTGCCTTTCTTTTTCCTCATTAGAGAAAGCAGCACTCTGATAAGATTCCTATTTTTTAAACCACTTGTTGGTGAGTGGTGCAGGCTGAATGCCCACTGTCAGCCATATGCTGCTGGAGCAAATGCTTCCCAGAAAAGCTTTCTGTTACTGGCTGGGAGGCAGCAGCACTGCGAGTGCCTGATGTCATTGACTTACTTGGCTTTTCTTTCAATGGTGACTTTTCATTTTCCCTGCTCTGTATCCCAGGGCTATCTCTTCTGAGCTTCTTTCAGTGCCTTCTGGTCCCAAACAGCAATGGTAGGAGAAAGGAAGCAAAAATTACTTATCCCCAAGTCTGTAGTGTGTTTGGGAGATTTATTTCTGTGCTGAAATTTTTGCAGTGCCTGTAGTAACAGCTGTAGAACAGGGTTAAAATCCTGGCAAACAGTGCAGTTCTTTCCAGTTTCCAGTAATATACTTGTTTTCTAGAATAAATAAGAGCTTATCAGAAGAGAGTGATTTTATTGGTAGTCCACTTAGGTAAAATACATACCAAGCTGTCCTTAATGGAAATGAGAAATAGGAGGTTGTTCTTTATTTTGTGAGGAAGACCAAGATTCTTTTTCATTGGAAGAACATATATTATGACATTTTTATTTCCCTTTAGAGACTTCATTGACATTCTTGCTCATTTCTGTTTCTGATAAATAACCACCCCTTGTGAATCTCAACAACAGCTTTATCTTCCTTAATTTTCTTCTTTTCAGTTTGCTCCACTAGCATTGTCTTGGATTCTCCAGCCTCCTTTCCCAAAGTTGGATCTAAATGCTGACTGATAATATATCTAAGTTTGTGATCATTAACTGAAGGGAGGAGGATAACTAACTTGGGACAAAGTTTCTCAGGAAATTGTGACGTTAGATTTATAAATCTAACATTTCAGTAGTGCTTGGAATCACTTGATATCTAAATATATGTAAAGTACATTTAGCTTGATGTATCTTTCAGAAGTTTTGAGCAGGTGGAAGAGTGTGTGTCCATTTACTGGCTTTAATTAGAAATTGAGGCACCAAACTGTTTTATTTAGCAACACTATTGACCCTGAAGAAATACCCTTCTGTTTAGAGAAACATTGATTTTTATGTATTTATCCCATTCTCTTGGGCAGCACAGATGCTTAAATGACCTTCTTGGCATCTTCCAGCTTTGCTTGTAGGTGTTGCTGAAATGAGAAGTCATCTCTTGTAAATATGAGTATTTACAAGCAGGAGTATTAAGTAAATTGTAATACTAACAGTTGTTAAATTAGTGGCTTTTGCAGGTGAATGTAAAATCTGTGCAATTTAAAATTCAATAAATATGCACCAAATATTCAAGCATGTCTGTCCTTTGTCAACTCTTCAATTTAATGTATGTCCATTAAAAACATAGGAGATCAGGTTTTAGTGTGACTCCAGTAATCTTTCTGTGTTTTAGAGTGCTACTTGGTATAAATGAGAAGTTTCTCGTATTGAGCTGTCAAAACATCTCAGTTCAATAAGCAGATTTGCATGGCAGTTGGTCACTTGCCATGTCATCTTTCCTCTAGTTTGCCTGCTCAATCTGTACATATGTTGCCTTTGCTGGTTTTGATTGCAATGAAGTGAAATGGTTATGTAAAGAATTTTTCTTTATCTTGCTTTTTTCCTTTGAGAATACAAAAAGGTCCCTGCCTTTCACAGCTTGTATTTGTAATCCTTTCCATTGTGTTTTGTTGAATTTCTGTGGCAGAAAAACAGTTAACAAGACCTGATACATTCACAGATTCACTTTTTGTTTCTGACCCTTTTAAAATGTGTTGCTTCTAGAGGCAGGATCTTGTATCAGATAGTACTTTAGAAAGGTGAAAAGGTAAGTGATAAAATACTGCTTCTTTGTGAAAAAACAGCAAAAATGCTGTTTGCAGTCCTTGAAAATAAGGTATATCTGTTGGTAGTAGGTGTTTATTTTTCATGGGATTTACAACCTGTAAAGCAGGTGGTATTATACTTACTTTCTTATTTCTAAGTCAGTTGCAAAATTTCAGAGTTTTCATTATTAGGTAACGGGGAACTTGTTGACATTGGCTTGTTGTGATGATAAAGGCCTTTTTTCAATTAAGTTCCAGTGAACTGGGGGTGGAGGTGTATCCACACTACTGAAATTTCCATCTCCATTGTTATGCTTTGGTCTGCAGCATTGTGGATTCAGGCACCTTCCTCCCGTGCAGAAATGTTGCAGATCAATGTTCAGAGTTTTCTGGGGGCTTCTGTGAGCTCTTCTCCATGGCTTTCTTTCTTTTTAGGAACATATCTTTGCTTTTCCTCCTTTTTTCTCTTCTTCTTTTGAATATTTATATAAAGCACAGCATTGAGTGCTGAGCTCTCTGAGCTGGTTACAAGCAAACTGAAATGTCTAATCAGCAATATGTACGTGAGGTCCCAGGAGGATTATAACTGTGTCAGTGTGATGCTGCATCAGGGCTAATTAGCTCTGCCTCTCAGACTGAGTAATTAGCTCAGGTATCCTGCTCTGCTGCTATGACAACCAGGCTGTTTCCATTTCTGGAACTCCCTGGATTTAGAGCTGACTTGGGTATCTGCATGGCTGTCAGCTCATGCCTTCTGTTATTGATAGAAAACAAACAGAAAGCTCCTCGAGCACTCTGACCTTTCTACATTTTAAAGGCAGAGAGCCATGCTTGTGGAATAAATATTTTTTTTTTCCTAACCAGAAGCAATTAGTGGTTGAAACAGCCTCTTGAGCTGTGAAGGAAAACCAACCACCGAGTCCATGGGAGAAAAGAAGCTTTCTTTTCCAGGGGAAAAGGGTCTCATGTAATTGAAGGAAACTACTTGACTGCTTTCAAGTGTACAGTGAAAGTATTCCCTTTCCTTCTCTCCCATCCATCTCCTTCCCTCTCATTTGTTTTCTGATGAGTAAGCCAGAAACCTGTAGGTTTTTAAGCAGGTTTTCAGAAGTGGTCATTGATGAGCAAATATTCCAGCTATTACATGGTTGGCTTGGATTGCTGGTGCTGCTTCAGGCTGGGTTTTTCTCAGCTGTGAGTAAGCAGAGTCTTTCCCCAGGGCTTAAAGCCAGAATCCTTTGTGTAACTTTTCCTGTGAAGCAAACACTTGGGGTCCCACACTCTCTTCCCACTTCATCCTTGAGTGCCTGGTTACTCCTCACCTATTCTAGATCCTCTGTCAAATTCTGATTGAATGGCACAGACTGAGCCAACAAGTGCAGGAGTTCTGAGTTAGCTTGCTCATTTTGGTTTCTATTAATGTTATATGAGCTTAATTAAGGACAAATTAAGATTTCTACTTTGCCAAAGGAAATTGAGGGCTAAAACCAGGAAAAAGCAAAATAGAGTGGCCATTATATGGTCTGGCAAAAGCAGTGAACAAGCAAATGCTGCTTTGCTGTTGGAAAGAATTCCAGAAAGCAAATTTGCCAGGAAATAGTGCTATTTACTCTGATTAATAATATTTTAATAGGGGATGTAACATGGTAATTAGAGAAATGGTCTAAAAAAATTAGTTGTCCATGGTTTTGTTTTGTGATTGATAGAATCACTGTTCTGGACAGGTGGATGTTATGGACCACAAAGACTTTGGTAAATCTAATTCCCTGCATCTGGGCCTTTTGCAAGGAACTGCAGAGAGTGAGAAATATTGGTGACTTTGGC